AACATCCACACCCACACCCACACCCCCACAATCCTGTAAGTCTTTGGAGGGTATATGATCGATATTTATTGTTGTACAGCAACAAAAATTGCATTCACTTACATTTCTAATTTTGAGGCTGAAATTATAAGAGGGAAAAAGGATAAATCAGTACTACAGATAGTTTATAGTAGAGCTCTGAAAAGTTACTAATGCTGAAAAATGTATTTCTTTTTTGTTGCATAAAAAAAACGAAAACATATCATTAGAATTCTAAAGGTTACTTTACCGATAGGATGTAAATATTGTAACACTTAATTATATGAAAAAAAAGCACATTCCAAATGAATAGAAGTAGCTTTTGCCAGTATTTTTTTCGTTAAAGATATTTGATATCAAATTTCGCTGAGTAATATTTGCCGATTCAGTTGGTATTACATTTTATTGCTTGATTTTCCTTGGTAAATTCAAATTTTTTAGTAGCTAAAATAATTTTTCTGATAGAGGTATGTTCAGATTTCCGAAAAAGGAACTTTTCGAAAATACTAAAACATATCTGATACCATCTTCAGACACTAATACGCATCACGAGAAATTTCTGTAAAACTTCTGTAATTACCATTCCATAAGAAAGAAATTTCCGCGAAGTTTTCGAAGTTTCAGACACAAGCCAACGAAATTTCTTGGAAATTTCGGAAATTACTACTACAACAGAAAATTTCTTCGAAAACTTCGATAATTACTCACACTGTAGCACGAAATTACCAAATAATTTCCGTAAATTCCAAATACGCAAAAGGATATTTATCCGTAATTACGGAAACTTCTATAATTTTTTTATTTATATCATATAGATATGATGAGATATATATAGATTTAAGAAGCCCTATCAAAAAGTTGAAGAATTTTTGGTAATTTCCGTAATTACTAGGAATTTTTAGTAATTACGGAAATTTCTATAATTTCTTTATTTATATCATATAGGCATGAGATACATATAGATTTAAGAAGCCTTACGCCAAAAAGTTGTAGAATTTTTGGTAATTTCCGTAATTACTAGGAATTTTTAGTAATTACGGAAATTTCTATAATTTCTTTACATATATCAGATAGATATAGTAACATACATATAGATTTAACGAGTCTTATCCCTAAAAAATAGAAGAATTTTTGGTAATTTTGGTAATTACGTGGAAATTTTAGTAATTACAGAAATTTCTATAATTTCTTCGAATTTTTGCAGTAAAGGTCTTTAAATCTATATCTATCTCATGATAACTGTATGATAAAAAAAAAGAAATCATAGAAATTTTCATAATTACTAGAATTTCCAGGTAATTACCGAAATTACCAAAAATTCTTCTTTTTTTTGGGCATAGTGCTCCTTAAATCTACATCTATCTTATTATATAGTATAGACATAATTTGGGAATTATAGAAATTTCTTGGTAATTTCGTCCGCATGTGCCGGTATTTTTCGTAATTACTGATAAATGTCCTTTTGTGGATGTGCCATTTACGAAAATTATCTGCTAATTTGCTTCTCTGGTATGAGTAGTTACCGAAGTTTCCGGAAAATTTGTTTTCTGTTTTGAAGGTAATTTCTTTATTTGTGTTTATATTTGTTTTTGAATAGGATGGGAGTAGTTACGGTTGTTTCTCATATTTTCTGAAATTTGCATTTTGTATGGTTGCAGTTTCAGAAATATGAATATTTAGCAGAGAAATTTCCTTTTTTGGAAATCTGTCCGTTGCTGGGAATTTCACCGATTCAGAAGTGATTAACAACCGGCCGGACCGGACCGTTTTATCTTTTTCTTATCGGTTCCAACCCTGCAAAGAATCAATGCTATCAATTGCTATTATTATGATATGGGCACAGATGGATGTGGTCCATCATTCCATAAGGCTAGTAGTGGAGTTCCACAAACAGGCAATGTTAGCGCTTCTTATTGTATACTAGGTATTTTTGTTGATATTTTTGAAAGATTTCGACTTGTTTTCTTCATAGAGAAAAGTGTGTTCTAGCAACACCAATGTCATTGAACGTTTTCCCAAATATTCCTTTGACCAGTTGTAATGAAACATTTGTTACAGATGAGATACCAAACTACTACCGTTACTGCTATAAGACGGATTTATGTAATAAGAGTTCCGGATGAACTTTAATTGATGTTCAATTCCAACTAAAACAAAAGTAGGCAATTCAAAAGATTATATCACTTAGCACAAAATTTCATTTCAAATCAATGGCGAATTAAAAAACAATAGGTATTGTTCAGGAAAAATCTTCTTTTTGATAGGATTAATTCTTTATAAAACATGACAATATATATTTTTCACTTACAATTAACCACAAGGACAAGGTGAAATAGGCGCTATCCGATGTATTAATGTAATCCAAAGTTAATAAATTGTCAAAGGATCAATAGAATCTACAGGGTTGGAAATAATATTTTGATAGGGGGTACCGCTATAATTTCAAATAGAAGACATAATGAATTTTATATCAAATGAAAGCTCATCAAAAGTGGGGTTTATTGATACTAAATTGTAAGGATTATGAAAACTTTTTAATATCGAACTTAAGAAACTTTCAGAAATTTTATACTTTTTTTGCGGTGGAAAAGTAAAGTGCCAGTAATTGAAAAATGGATTCAAATGTTTTTCTTGAATATTTTTACATGGTTCGATAGACCTCATCGAGCTCTACAAAACTGTATGTACTAAAATATTTTCAAACGGAGTTGTTGGATTAAAAGTCACTGAAAACTGTCTAAAGAATGTACCGAAAAACTCTCATTTTTTACACTTTTTATAGAGAAAAAAAGTGGTCTTTTTTACACTAAATTCAGCTGTTTTCCATTAGTATCTTTATGTAAATTGTTTGAAAATATACTCATTCGATGCAGCGTGAAAAACTGCATCGAATGAATATATTTCGAAACATCTGAGGAAATAAAAATAATCAGAAAAAGGATGTTTTATTGAAAATTCGAATGTTTTTCTTCCATATCAAAAATATGACTTTTTTTAAACATTTTTTAAGATTTTCCAAATAGTTTTCTGAAATTTTCATCACAAAAAAAGACTCAAAAAATTTTTAATATATGCAGTTTTGTAGAGCTCGATGAGCTCTATCGAACCATGTAAAAATATCCAAGAAAAACATTTGAATCCATTTTTCAATTACTGGCACTTTACTTTCCCACCGCAAAAAAAGTATAAAATTTCTGAAAGTTTCTTAAGTTCGATATTAAAAAGTTTTCATAATCCTTACTATTTAGTATCAATAAACCCCGTTTTTGATGAGCTTTCATTTGATATAAAATTCATTATATCTTCTATTTGAAATTATAGCGATACCCCCCATCAAAATATTATTTCCAACCCTGTACAGGATATTCGAAAAGTCTCTTCCTAAAAATTGTTTCGTGTTTGTTAACCATGAAAGTTGCCACTAATCTAAAGTCCGACAAATAAAATAAAGTTGGAACTGGTATTTAAATTGTTTCAACTGAGATGGTGCAATTACTTCTTTAATCGATTAAAATCGATTAATCTAGAAAAATATAGCAAAAGTCTGGTTGAACTCGATTTTTGACAAAAAAAGTAAAAATCTATAATAACCGATTCTGTTGAAGGAATAGAAATTATCAATTAAAAATCTAATTAATTGAAATTGGTGATTCCTAAAATCGATTATTTGGATTTCTTTTTTAAAAAAAAGTCAATTTTAATCGATTTTAACTGAGTAAAATGAAATCTTACATCGAATTTAATCGAAATCTGGTACTTTTAATCGATTTTTTACGATTATTTTCCAAAAAAATCGGTTTTAATCAGATTTTTAGCCTTTTCTTCTTTTTTTAATTGGGTATGATACATGAATCTTCATAATATAAAATTGTCATCAATTCGTATAACACAAGTTATTATCCGTCTTTAGAAAATAAAAATTCTTTAAATCACAATTTATTAAATTATTATACATGATGCGTTACGAAAAACTAGAAGAAAAATTAGGTATCTTATCAAAACACCTTTTTATTAACTTTCATTTATTATAGTAACGATAACACTAAGACTGTTCTAGAACATTCCAAAGCCTTCCTCGAAATTTGAATGACTAGAATACATTGTTGAATATGTACAATAGGCTTATTTGCCAGTTAAATCAATAATTAAAATAATAATCATTTAGTTAGATTCAGAAACAAAACGGAATATAAAAGAAGAAAAATAACGACTAATGAATAACGCTAAGGCAAACAAAAATAGAACACTTGTAAAAAAAAGAAAAAACTTTTGTTCGAAATGCAGAAATAAGTAAGACCAATCGTTTCCTTGATGATCGATTATCCTAAGCGCATAACTCTAATCTGCTAGATATTTCTCACTTTATTTGTTTTTTACTACGTATGATGATATCTATAAAAATTAGAGCAATTATACACAAATGAAAAAAGAAAAATTACTATCAATTGAATAAATATTAAAATAATATTCGAAGTTTAATAATCCAGATCATATCAAATTATTTTCATTCTTCAAGTATTTTCATGAGAATGATACAACCTATTTTATATCAATATAGAGATTAAAAAAAAATAATTATAAATACAAGATGTCCATTAGCTCTTCATTATTATCCTTAGTTTTGAATATCATTGGTGTCTTGGGGTGCAAGTGGGACTATTCATAGACAATTACAAAAATACAGTTTTCATGACAGTAGTATGAAGATATGCAATATTGAAAAAAAAAGGTTGGCAGTGTTTTCACAACAGCATTGAAGTATAATTGAATATGTCTTTGATTTTCATGGCTTCTCATGAAAAAATACCAATATATTATCATCGATGCGTATTTATATGGTTTTTTTTCCTATAGAAGTGTCAGGATCTATATTATTCGGATTCCTGACATTGGTTTTTTATGTCATCTTATGAAGAAAATGAAGAAAAAAATTCTTCTTTCCTGTTGAATGTTTGACTTATTTTCATTTTCGGATTAGCACAATGGGACGAATGAAAATGATACTTGCTATCCGTGAGTGTTGGTATACAATCAAGAGTAGAAAGATTATAGTTCTTTTTTCGATCACGTTCAAAATTCGATGAAGAAAATGATTTCCAATACCGAGCGTCTTAGCAAATTGTGGCTATTGCGAAACTAATTGCTCATCATATATAGATTTTTGTAGTTCAAGCCAGTATATTCTTGTAAGAACTGACGCAGACTATTTCTATAAGCTTTTGTTGAGGATAATTGATATGTATATTCTCCTTTGTGACGAAGTTTCTTAACACTTCTGTACGTATGCTAAGTGAGAAACGCCCATACTACTGCCTGATGTCTAAATCAGCACGAAATACTATTATAAATTAAGTCTTGACAAGGAATACATGAAGTAATGCACTTGATTTAAACTTTTCTATTTGCAATTTGGCTTATTTATTCGACTATCTTGAACAAGCTGACAATCAAACTAGATGGTACTTGAGCTACATTTAAAGTGCGAGAACAATGCAAAACATCTTTATATTTGGATTATAGATTGTTGAAATAGAAATAGATGGTTGAGACGTCACCATAGACTCGATCATAAGAACTATTGCTAATCTTTATTTGACTTGTTGAGTGAATAGTGCAAAGGCTTCATTATCATTATTTAAAATAAGAAAGCTCGAACTCCTTAATAAGCAGAACACGAGAAAGTATCTAGCAAAATCAAGCAACATATGCAAATCATTTAGCGAATTTTATTGCCAGGATCGGATTGAAAAGCATGTTGTTTTGTTGCTAAAAGTAATACCTTTGTTCATTCATGACATTTCAATTATCACGGAAATGGCAAAACAAGCTAAGAGCTATCAAATTAACAAAAACTCATTGCTAATTTTAGCTCCTGAGGCCGAAGCCTAGTTTCGTTTCCATTATCTCGGACACAATCAAGAAAATATACAAATTATTCTCATAATCTGGATTTCACTTTGGGCAAAGGAAATATGTTATTTTTGGAAAATCTCCTTTCTTAAATAAGTTGCAATGATCATCGAATGATGTTCTGTTCTCAAAATCATCGTGTCATAAACAATGGGCTTTACATTTATACGGTCGAGTTATTTATATTTTTAATTCATACCCAATATCTTATATAGAATAACCTAGAAGGTGTGCGAACGTGATTCATCCGTATTTATCCCAAATGTTTGATATTAAAAAGAGTATACCACTGTAACGCTCCCGCTTGAGTACACTGTATGGTATAATGACCGTATTGTTATTTTCGCCCGTATACTTTGTCCTTACACCTCTTTCTTCCCATATATGGTCTTACGTTATTTTCTATCCTTATCATTCTTTTCTTTCATGGGGGAGTATATAAGTGTATACTTTGTATGGAAACGAGGCGATTCTTGAGAAGAAGAATACAATAAAGCGTAATTCCACTAGTGCTAACACTTCTTCCATCAGAAATCGTCACAACCACGTTTGCTTCTCTTTCATTTCTTCATTCTATAGAAGCCACTGCATACGTATTGATAAAGTATGTATATGTACAGTATGTAAAATAATTATTCGGACACCCTGTAATACCTATCTTATAAAGCAGATTTCACAAAGATGAAAAATATTTTCTCGACTATCATTATACCATTCGATAGATCAATGTCTCTACTTTATTCTACGAAAAAAAAAGATTATCTCTCAAAAAGGTTTTCATAAAATTTTGAAAGATTTTCTATATAGATTCCTTGATTTCTTATACAAACAAATTTATTTGGATACCTCTAATATTCTTTTTATGCCACCTTTATTCTCCATCAAAATATTTTCAGTTGTATATCATTTGATAGAGAAAACAAAACTGAATAAAATTATGTCTTTAACTTCTAAAAATCATTAAATAAAGGACATATTAATTGTTAATTAAAATTAGTATTTTATATAGATCTTCCAATAATCTTGGTTTTTAGATAGCAAAATCCAACTGAAAATTCTTTTTGAACGAGATATAGGCTTGTAGAGAATTAAATTTTCTACAAAATGTTGCGCTTAGTTGCACAATAACTATTCTTCGTGAATATGGTAAAATCTTATCTTTTCAAGCACAATTTACAGTGGAGAAAAAAGCGAAAAAATATTATTTTTTTTTGTTTTGTCACTTTATATGCATGGCGTATGGATATATATATATCGATATCTTTCTTTTCTTCATTCACTGGATCAGCGTATGTCAAGTGACAAAACGAAAAAAAAATGTTTATTTGCTTTTTTCTCCACTGTAAATTGTACTTGAAAAGATAGGATCTTATCATATTCACGAAAAATAGTTATTGTGTAACTAAGCACATCATTTTGTAGAAAATTTAATTCTCTACAAACCTATATCTCGTTCAAAAAGAATTTTCAGCTTGATTTTGCTATCTAAAAACCAAGATTATCGGAAGAGCTATATAAAATACTAATTTTAATTAACAATTAATATGTCGTTTATTTAATGATTTTTAGGGATCAAAGACATGATTTTATTCAGTTTTGTTTTCTCTATCGAATGATATATATTAGTTGAACTGCACATCCAAACAGATTTTGGTTCCTCCTAACTGTTTCGCTTCTCTCTTTCTGGAATCCATATCAGAGAACATAATCCACATAGAGCAGAGAGTTTAAAAACCTACTTCTCAGGTTGACATTCCCATGCAACTGAAACAAACTCGCTTTCAAGTTTCTCTCTTTTCCAGTTTTTACAGTTTACCATGTCTCGTAATGCTCTTATCACTGGTGCTGCTCGAGGTATGGGACGTGCGATTGCCCTCCGTCTTGCTAGAGATGGTCTCAATGTTGCTGTGAATGATATCAAAGCAAGTTCTTCAGGTCTCAACAAGGTTCAACAAGAAATCGAAAAAATGGGTCGAAAATCTATCGCTATAACTGCTGATGTTTCTGTTGATAAAGAGGTCGAAACAATGATGCAGAATGCTGCAAAAGAACTGGGGAGTTTGGACGTAGGCACTTTTTTTTCTCGATTCTTTCATCTTTTTTCTAGCTAATAATACAGGTCGTAGTCGCTAATGCAGGAATTATCCAAATGAAACCGATCATTGATATTACTACGGAAGATTGGGATAAGATGTTTGCAGTCAACACGCGGGGTGTGTTTCTTTGCTACAAAGAGGCTGCTAAGGTCATGATTGCGCAAGGTACAGGAGGAAAAATCATTGGTGCCTGCAGTATACTCGGATACAAATCAGTTCCAATGGCGAGCCATTATTCTGCCAGTAAATGGGGTGTGCGTGGTCTTACGCAGGCCGCCGCTATGGAATGGGCAAAACATAAGATTACAGTCAATGCTTACTGTCCAGGTATGTTTTATATCGGGTTTGTTTTGAAATACAAATCTAATGATCATAATAGGACTTACCAAAACTGCGATGGGAGATATAGTTGATGAAGAACTAGCAAAACTTCAAGGAAAGCAAAAGGGAGACATCATCAAATATTACGAAAACGACGTCATAGCTCTTGGCCGACTAGGCAAGCCAGAAGATATTGCAAACTTAGTGTCGTACTTGGCTAGCCAAGACTCTGATTATATGACTGGACAGAGTATTATCGTTGATGGAGGAACCGTGTTTTCTTGATGTCAAATTCTATCAGTTGCAAAAGAGGAATTTATTTATATATGTCTTGTATCAGAAGTCTTCATCATCCTATATTAATAAAAACAGAGGGAGAGAAAATTAATCAATGGTTGTGAACTTCAGGCAAGAGTATCGTATTATATCATGTGATCAGAACTTACAAATCTGCATTAACAAAAAAAAAAATTATACTCTAAAAGTCCACATGATATTTTTCAAAATCCAATGTATTCGTGAAATCAGCACTATAGCAAAGAGGAAATTGCAGTAGTCAATACAGCATGCTTATTCTTAAATGGATTGGAATAGGCATAAATCTCGTCTGCATTGAACTAGAACAGAAACTCCATCGAAATTTTTATAAAACTCTTGCATCAGATTGTATTCAACATTTATATGGAATATTCTTGTGCGACAAAAAATTGATCTTACTCCTTTCCAATGCACGTGTGCCTCTAGGTGTAGGTGTGCATCTTGTCTAAATCCGTATCCACATTCGCACTTACATCTTCGTTATCACATTTATAGTCGGTATTGCTCGTGTGGAGAACATTATTGCTGAAAACTGAAGAAGAATCAGTAGAATAACATTGATGATATACCACCAATGTTGAAATAACACAAAGTTCAACAAGAGAAACTAGATCGATAGTATAAGAGTATTGACGATGTCGTGTATTGTTCTTTTCTATCATATAATAAACATTAGACTTCGAGTTATATCACAAATGTACTTGCAAAAACATGTTAAAACAGTGAGTGTAATTGTTCAAAGTTCAGTAGTGGTTTGAATGTAAAATGCTTTATTCAATTGTACATTTAAATTGTGTTTAAAATAGTATAGAAAATACAACATTTGCTCTAAGAGTTTCTAATCAACTACAACGATAGTGGAAAATACAGGATAGCCCAAAAGTCATGATATCGAGAAACAATCGACTATCTCTAATATGGCAAGGGCAAATGAGCTGATTTTTTTACCACTAGTAAAGGCATGTTCACACTCCATAACTTTTCTACAGATGGAAAGAAAACACCATATTTAAACAAAGAGTCTCTCTTGGCATGTCTTTATGAATATAAAGCTTGAACATGTTTCTATCATTGGTACAAAAATCAGTTCGTTTGCTCGAGTTGTAATGAAGATATTCAATTTTTGTTTTCGATAAAGTGACTTTTTCGTCACCCTCTATAGTCGTTCTTAATCCTTTGAAGGCGGGCTTATTTTTTACATAAAAAATGAAATTGTGTTGCTAAAATTAATTATATTTTGAAAATTATTAATGGTCATAATTATTGCCCTTAGATCTCATTTAAACGGTGCAGCTGGTTTATTTTGAAATGAAAGAAATACGTGGGAAGAAAAAAAACTAAAAGTTTACCAAGGTATGGAATTCCTCGAAGCAATCAACTACGCAAAGACCCATATCACAATCTTTACACATATATAACGTGAATCTATCCTCTTTTTAGGTCCTCTATTAGTATGTACACATAAAACACGTTTTTCTCTGAGGAGTTTTTCTTTCCGTTGTTTGAGGTACAAGAGAAGGAAAATGTCTAGCAATGAGTCGAGTTGGTTTACAGCCATGTACAGGACTAGACAGAGTATTCATTTACATTTATTCATATTCTAATGTCTGCACAAATGATTTTTGAAAGTATTTTTATGAACAAGTAAATCAATATTTTAAGTCTTTTTCAGTATATTATATCTACACTTTACATATAGTAATTGTCGAACCAAGTTAAATTTGAAGGCAACGAAACAGCGATAAAAAATATTATTCAAATAAACACACACGTTAAAGATGCTTTCTATCTGTTCTCGAAGTTTGTTAAGACAAACTAGATTTCAAATAAAGTTAAACATATCTTAATATAAATATATAAAATCAGTTCCTTGTTTTCATCTTTTTTTCGATCTTCTATTTTTGAATCTTTTAAAAACTCTATTAAATTTTGTTTGAATGTCAACTTTCCATCACACATATGCACATATTTTATTCAAAGATCAAATTTGTTCAATATCAAAATAACTATTACAACACCAATGAAAAGTCAAGATTTTAATGCACGAATATCTATACCTCGATGATCCCTCGATTTAACACGTCTGTATTTATCCGTCTATTGTCGTTCATGTTCATTCGTTTTTTTTTCTTTTCCTCTCACATATTCATTTCTATCATTTTCTTCATTACAGATGCCAAATTCGATCGATAAAACTATTAAACGTAATCATATTCCACCGATTAAAAATAATTTATCAGAACAAATAAAAATTTTTCAAGATTCTATAAAAACCAATCAAACAAATATGAATAAACCGAATATATTGTCAACGTAAAAAGATAAAATCATTCATCTGATCATTTTAAAATTTTTATGTTTAGATCCGAAGATCATAAATCTCTTCCTCAAAAAATATCAACAACAACTAATGATACATCTCATTCAACAGTTACAACAACAACAACAACAACAACTACTACTACAACAAAGACCATTAATCCGACTGATAGTCATAATTTAGGTATATAGTTCTTTTTTTTTTTGTTTAAATAAAAATAATATTTCTATATTAATTAAACTATTTTTAGTTGGATGTATGTGTCCATTTTGCAATGAAATCTATCAAATGACTTGCCATCGACCAATTAGTGAAATGTCATGTGGTCATATTATTTGTTATCAATGTTTTGTTCTTAATACAAATCAATTCGGTTGTGTACAATGTAAAAAATCTTCAGAAGTAATTTGACAAAAAAAATATATTTCTCCTCTACATGAGAATTCCATTTAGAAAAATAATGCTAACATTAAATTATCATCTGTTACAACTGTGCCATCGGATAATAAGAATACATTTCAGCAAGTAGTTAATGAAAAATTTGAAAATCATTCATCGAATTATGAACATCAAATTCTCAATATTTTTCATGAAGTTTTTGGACTATCAGAAGTTTGTATATTTATACAGAGTGTTTTCAAAAGTTCATCATGAATAATTCTTGAACAATTAATTCAAGCTATACATCTCAACTTTCTTTACAGTTTTGTTTCATATGATTTTATTTTACGTTTGCTATTCAAAATATTCACAATTCAATGAAAGAATCTCCATGGAAACCGTTGGATTTTTCAGCAATAAGATTCTTGCAGACATTGTCTTACATGTATCATCATATAACATGCAAATTGTTTGAATTGTTCAAGAACTATTCACATATTTTATTTCAAAGAACTTTTCGAACATTCTGTATTATCGAAAATTATTTAAATTCTAGTTTCGACATAATCAATGGGAAGCAATTAATGCTGCTCTTCAACATCATGATTGTTTTATACTTATGCCAACAGGTAAATATGATTTTAGTTGAGTCAAACATTTTACAAAAAAACAATGTTTTTTGAAGGTGGTGGTAAATCTTTATGTTATCAATTACCAGCTGTTATTGATACTGGTGTTACATTTGTTATTGCACCATTACGTTCACTTATATTTGACCAAAAACAACGATTAACTTCATTAAATATATCATGTACAGCTTTAACAGGAAATATATCACAAGAAGAAACTGATGAAATCTATCGTGAATTATATAAAGATTTACCTGTATATAAAATTGTTTTTATTACACCGGAAAAAATTTCTATGAGTGTAAAATAATTTTCTATATAGATAAATATAAATAATTTGTTTTTCTTTTGTGTCCTATTAATAGGATCAATTGAATACTGTTCTTCGAGATTTATATAATCGTCAACTTTTAGCACGATTTGTTATTGATGAATGTCATTGTGTTTCAGAATGGGGTATGTTATTTGGATAAGTAATGTATATTTTTAGTAGACTAAAAATAATTCATATACAAAAGTATTTATATCTATAAATAATTACTTTTGTGAAACATCATCTAGAAGAAGTGTTGAAGCATAGGAGTAAACATTATTTGGATCTGTTCATACAGAGAGTTCTTTCGGAAAAAAATACTTTTTTAGATTTTTAACTCTTAGTCCCGAACAAAAAAAAAGCTAAGAGTTTTTAAAAAGAGCCCTGTAAGATCTAGAGATCAGCATGAGTATTGTTTTTTGATCACAGTCACGAAAATATTATGAATTGTATTTGTATGATCTGTTACAAAGCGATTACTCATACTGATTGTATGCAAAAGTATACCGACTGAAGCCATTAAAGTTCTTTACTTGACGAGTGAAATGAAACTAAAACAACGAAGTATCTTCAGAACTTGGTTTTTTTTCTATCTTGTTTGATGATAATATATCACGAAAATATCATGGTATTGATTTGAATATTTCTGGTTCGAAGTTGATTTTGAGAGAAGAAAGAAGTCTTTAATTTCAGATTTTAGAATATTTATCAGTATTCAATTAGTTACATAAATACTTTTCGAACATTATCTTGATTTATATATAGAGTAGTTTCTGAAATTTTTCTATAAATCTCGATATTCATTTTATCACTGAACGGAAGAAATTACGGAACAAGCCAAAAGTCAACTGAGAATGAAGAAAATTTCTTTCGAACTATAATTCTCTTCTGCTATATACCTACAATATGTTACATCCTATAAATCGATAAATCTAATATCACTAAAAAAGATAAATTTCCGATACCTTCTTGCAAATACACCATGGAATGACTCTAAACAAGTCAATAACGACTGTTTGTCTCGGATCATCTATCCTATAGCATGTTGACTACGTTGTGACACACATGTGTTCCTGCAGATTAATAGATTTAAACGAAAATAAAATCTCACTTGTTTTTTTTTTTACTTTTAGGTCATGATTTTCGTCGTGATTATTCACAACTTGGTATTTTATTTTCTAATATTATAATCATCTTAATTATTAATTTTTAAGGTCAATTACGACTTAATTATCCAAAAATAAATATAACATTATTAACAGCAACAGCAACATTACGTGTACAACAAGATATTCTTCAACAACTTAATATAACTGAAAATTACAAATTATTTACTCAATCATTTAATCGATCAAATCTTATATATGAATGTATATCAAAAGAAAATAATGATCTAGCACTTAGTCAAATAGCAAATTTAATTAAAATAAATTATCAAAATCAATGTGGTATTATTTATTGTTTTTCACGTGCTGAATGTGATCGAGCAGGTAATAAAAGACAAAAAAAAACAAAGCTTTCACAAAAAATAAATTAATATCTATTTCTAGCTCAATATTTATTAGCTCATAATATTCATGCACTTTCTTATCATGCTGGTTTAAATGATTCATTACGACAAACAATACATATGAGATGGATTAATGATGAATGTCAAGTAAAATATTTTGATAAATGTATATGATTTGAAAGAACTTTTCTTTTTTTTTTTTAATTTAAGGTTATTTGTGCAACCGTAGCATTTGGTATGGGTATTGATAAAAATAATGTTCGTTTTGTTATTCATTTTTCTATGCCACAATCAATTGAGGTTGAATATACATATATATATATATATATTGATTTGAATAACAAGAGAAATATTTTTCCTTTTATATTAGGGTTATTATCAAGAATCAGGTCGAGCTGGACGTGATGGTGAAATTGCTAATTGTCATCTTTTTTATTGTTATGAAGATTTTCTTAAAATGAAACGACTTATATTATGTATGAAATAATTTATTAATCACCCTCGCCCCTGTCAAAAATCTATTTTCATCTTAGAACAACTGATCTAGCTGAAAAGTTCATACATTAAGGGTTAAAAAGTAGGATTTTCATGTGTTCCAGACTTCTCTCTCAAAACGAATTTCTTTATCGATTTTCTTCGAAAAAATAGAGATAGTTCTGTAGAAAACGATCGATTTTTCTCAAGAATTAAGTCCAAAATACAAACTCCAGTTCTGTTAAGTGGTGTAGAGCACAATTTTCTTTTCAATTGAAAATCTTTCTGAACTTCCTACTATATAAAATAGCTGCGAACTCTGGGATGTACAAGTAGAAAAAAAACTTGGTTTTTAGATGCAATGGAAAATTAATGTTTCTTTTTCGTGGAACAGTAGATGAAATACATTGATTGTAGTCTACCATGTGTTAATAACTATGACGAATCAAATAAAGACTTGTACAGCGTCTAAAATAGACAAACGATGTGAAGAAGAAGAAATACAAGAGAATGCATACTTATGTCAGCAAGCTTCTCTTCTGAAATAGCCATGACAAAATAATTGCATTATTAAATGAACACTGATAGGAAAAGAAATATAGCGCATGAGTCCACTTGTCCGAGAGTTTGCAGCACTTACTCTTACAAAACGCGTTTTTCCTGATTTCAACACCAATCAATAAATTCTATGTAAAACCGTGAAAAAGTATAAGAATTCCGAGCAGAGACCGTCACAGGGCACTTTTTTTGTGCCCTGTCCTGCCCTTTG